AATGCTGTATTACCCCAAGTGCCTTTAAGGGCTGTATGGAAATGTGTGGATGTAAAGTGTCAGAAACACATGAATGCAATTTCAAAATGCTTTCAGCAGTCACATAGAATTCAGCCTGCTCGCATATTGAGATAGCTGCTTTTCACATTTACCAGCAGTGCCACAAGCTGTTTTAATTCCATCCATCATTTTCTGAAGATTAACCTGCGTCAGCTGTACCAAGACAACTAAAACATAAAATATCTGTATCAAGCGTAGGTACTGTATACAGCTACGAGGAAGGGAGTCATAAAAACATTTCTTTAGTTGTGTTTATTGTGTTGGTACGCTCAAAACAAATGTTAAGGTTTTGGTAGACTACAGCCTTTTTAGCTCCTTATATCAGAAATTGGATTGTTTGTTGCTCCTATCAGTATAAGTAGCACATAAACAATTAAAATTATAAAACAAAATGGTGTATGCATGTTACAAAAACTGCAGGAACAGTTGATTCCTAGATGTGTGTGATATAAATCCTGTGAATAATGAAAAGTTGAAAAGAAAATATTGGTAATGTACAACATTTTCATAACAAATAGAAAAAGGACAGTGCAACGGCGTAGTGTTGCTGCCTGACCAATCTTGGGAACTGAATTTGCTTATGGCTCAGTGCCTTCTGTGTGGAGTTTATGTGTTCTCCCCTAAGACCACATGGGAATATGCCTGGAGCTCTGGGTTCATCCCACAGTCCAAAGACATGCAGTCTAGCTTAGCTGGCTAAATTGTTTTCCTGTGCATGTGTGAGTGTGCATTCCTTTGCCTGCCTATACAGCTCTGGCCCACAGCAAGCCTATATTGGGCTAAAAGGCTTTAGGAAATGGATGAAAGGAAAAATAGACTCGGATTTCTTCAGTGGCTTCCTCAGACATTGATGACTCTCCTCCTCGTCATCTGTCCCCTCTCGTTTTTCCCACCTCCAGTGAGCACCTATCAGAAGCATTTTGCCGCAGCGATTGATTCATTCCAGGACGCGGTCAAGTGTCTTTCCGAGTTTGTTTGCAATGCGGCCTTCCCTGACACCAGCATGGAGGCCATACGGCTCATTCGCCACTGTGCGAAATACGTTTCGGAGAGGCCGCAGGTGAGTGCCATCCGGTGTTTCAGTGTCTGAACGGCTGATGGGGGGAGGCACTGACCAGCAGTGCTTTGTTGTCTAGGTTTTTCCCAACTTTTCTGATTTCTTATCTTCTGATAAGATTTTATTTGATGCCTTATCTAGAGGTTTAGAAATATTTTTTTTGAACCGTTACATATGAGGAAAAACTGCTACAGTGACTGCTGAGGGGTGGAAATTTCAAGAAACCACTTTTTTCAAGTGGTTTTGGTGGTGTGGATGCCTTCAATGTAACACCTTGTGCTTTGGTGACGGTGGAGGCTTACATACTCGCCATTTATATGACAGCACGTCCCAAAAACTCAAAAACTGCCCCGGTTCTTTGCCTTCACTTTACCTGTGGAACTTGTAGTTTCACATGACTATTTGAAAAGACGAATTATTTTGAGATAATTGGATGAGAGATCTTCACAGTCCTTCATCGACAGCGGATCAGCAGTGAAACATGACCTAAAAGATCACGGGTGAAAGCTAATTGGGAGAGAGCACTATGGGCCACTATTTTCCTATAAAAAGGTGGTTGGTGCCAGTGGAACGGTATTTTGTTTTATGCTTCCCAGGCCTTGCGTGAATACACCAGTGACGACATGAATGTGGCCCCGGGGGACCGGGTTTGGGTTCGAGGGTGGTTCCCCATTCTTTTTGAGCTGTCCTGCATTATAAACCGCTGCAAGCTGGACGTGCGAACACGGTAAGAGCCTCAGAACTGATCCCCTGGGCTTTGTGGGACACTCTGTGAGGACAGATTAAAAGGCATCTAAAAATACCTGTTGGGAAGAGGGGCATTTGTAGGAAAAAAACTTTCAACCTCTTGATCAAGTGCCACGTTTGTTGCAGTTTAGCGGACTCTTTAAGTAAATGTACATGAGTGTGAAGTATCTGGTGCTGTGAGACATGCCAGGTTTTCTTAAACTTATTTATGTTTCCAAATGTGTGGGTAAGTGGTTTGCAACTCCAGTTCTTCAGATAGTTAAGTACTCTAAACCTGCCATGGACAGGGGCCTGACAGTGATGTTTGAGATCATGAAGAGTTACGGACACACCTTCGAGAAGCACTGGTGGCACGATCTCTTCAGGATCGTGTTCAGGATTTTTGACAACATGAAGCTTCCTGAGCAGCAGACTGAGGTACTGTATGCGCTCTTCCTAGATAACCTGCAACAAGGTTCCCAGGTCCTTTTGCATATAAGGTTTACCAAAAAAATGTATTCCCTAGCTCGAAACCCACAGACTGCATGATGAAAGTTACTGCATAACATGTAATGAGTAGTATACAAAACCCTGCTTTTCAAGAAAGTTAAACCACTCTTTCTCATTGACGCTGCCCTAGTTACTAGTTGGTCTTTGGGCATGGTGTCATCTGGTTTATCTGTAACCAAAATTATCTGTCTTACAAGCTAGAGGGTAGAGAAAGAGATACTTTCAAGTCGTTCTTGTTAGTACAGTACTCTTATGTGGGAATTATTTGCATTGGTAAAGAAATATGACTCCAAGAATTGGTTACTGTACAAATTGTGGCGGTGCAGTCAGATGCTTTCTGTCAGCTTCAAAGCATGATAGATTAGCCCTATTTCTGTATTTTTTTAATTTCTTTTCAAGTTATCATAATGAACTATTATAAGAATCATCTGGGGAATTACTTGCCCCGATGTGTCCGTTCAAAGAAACAAACCAACATGCTGCTGAAGTTATGTTTCCTGCTGTTTTCAGAAAACTGAGTGGATGACTACAACATGCAACCACGCCCTTTATGCCATCTGTGATGTGTTTACTCAGTTTTATGACCCTCTAAGCGATGTCCTGCTCCCAGATATTTTTACACAGATACAGTGGTGTGTCTCACAGGGTGAGTAATACAGCATTGCATTTCTTCTTTGATAAAAGAAGAAGCTTTGAGATTTTTAACAATTGTCAGCCACCAGAATACATGCGGACACTTTTGTAGTGTCAAAGAGTTTCCCTTGAAAACAAAATCAAAGTCATATGTGGAAGTTTTTTTTTTTTTAGAATTTGAGATTAATCTTTTAACACCAGAAATACTAGCGTTTGTTTCACCAGCATGACACAGCATATACTCCACAAAACGGTGCACAACACTACCAAGAGGAACTGAAGTGTTTTACAACGGTACATTTGTAAAAATGTGGTGTTGTGCGTCAGAAACAAATCTTGAAAATGAAACTGTAAATTCTTCATTTACATTTTCCACCCTTCAGTTGTTTAATGCTACATATTTTCACTTTCAAAAAGAGAACAGACCAATTACGGTCTGTGACATATGTTCCAAACCAAATTAACGCAGATTAAATTTCAGTTTTCTCACTGTAGAAATTTTAAAATTAATTGGCAGCCAGATGAAGGATTACCCACAATGCCATTACCCTCTGAAAACAAGACATTAAATTATGAGCTTTCCATACAGCACCTCAATTGTGGTTTTAATTTTAAAAAAAATATTTTCCTAAATCAGAAAAATAAATACATCTAATTAAACAAATCTAATATTTATCTCACACCCAGGTGTACACATTTTTCATTCTCATGCAATTTATGAAGTCAAAGATTTAACAGCATTAAAATTCTATTAAAAATACAATTTCAAATCCTCACAGACTAGGTGAAGTAAGCAAGTGAAATGCGATAATGGAACTTCTTCCAGTAAACCATGGTCGGTATTTCCCACATGAAGACACACCTGTGTTTGCTTTCAGATCATTAACGCGGTGTAGGGATCTCCTGGAACAGTGAGCCTCTGTAATAAGCGTGATTGCAGATGTGGAGAACTAGAAGCCTGAAATGTGATTCTGTTCCAGATAACGAGCAGTTGGCTCGATCGGGGACAAACTGCCTGGAGAACCTGGTCATTCTGAATGGGGAGAAGTTCAGCCCAGAGGTTTGGGAGCACACCTGTCTCTGTATGCTGGACATCTTCCACAACACCAGCCCCCATGTGTAAGTGCCAGCCCCTGCCTTAATATTGTAAAGCTGTTCTCCTGAAGGGCTCCTCAGGGCCCGCTGGGGAGACTCACCAGGGTCCCCCATTGTGGAAACACAGTGCATGAGAAAAGCTGTGCCGTACACGTAAGACTGAAAACTTCTCCCCTTTTATTAAGATTTAAAATGACAGGTGCGACACTTAAACAGGTACAGTAGGTCTGGCAATCGCCAAATCCAGTTCTGATCCAGCCATGTCATTTCTTCTGTCTAGCTTGCTAACGTGGAGACCTGCCAGCCAGGAAGAGGACACTGGAGAGAAACACATGGTATGTGATTAGATTCGATTAATTTTTATTAGGTCTGCTTGTGAAAGTTAAGAGTGGACCTTAAGATTCACATGGAGGACACTGAATGGTCTAGCCCCCAGTTATCTTCAAGACTATTTGCATGAGTGTTCTTCAGCATAATCTCACGTTAAGTGTTTAAAGACCAGACTCCCCGCAGTGGACTTACAGCATCACTGTGGTGCTACACAGTAGAAGGCTCTGTCTGTGGAGCTCACCATCCTCAACCATTAGAAGACTGTCTGACCATCTAACATTTTTAAAACTTGTCTTAAAGACCAGTCTTTCATTTTCCTTTTCAACATTTGACGTTCTTTAGATTTCTTTATTTTTTCTTTTTACTTAAGCTACATGTGTGCTGTTGTGCAGTGCTTTGAGTTTCTAGGTCAGTGCTCATGAAGTTGTACTGCTTTTATTATTCAATAATAAAAGTGTTTAATATTGAAGGATGTGGAAGTGGACTCTCATTCTCAAAGCAGCTACGAAAGGAATCTTTCTGATAGAGGTCAGAGCCAAATGTCCAATGCCAGTGATGAGACCTGGAAAGGAAAATCCTATGCTAGTAAGTTGTTTGGGGTTTGTCTTTCCCTTTTTTTGCATCTTTTAAAATAGCAGATTTTGTTCCGAAAAGGTCCAGCCTTCAAGGAGAAGCATGGATTGTGCAATGCAACGAAATATGAAACCACGTTTTACAGCAATTTTAATAATAATAATTCTATTGTTATCAGGCTGTTGACCCACCCCATAGCTCTTGTTTTATTCCTTTACTGTCAATACTAACCTAATATGCAGCCTTTTCTCCAAATAACCAAGGTCTTTTTTTCTTGAATTTCAATACTTAAAATCCACATTTCGTGCAGCAATGTGCTATTTCCTCACACAAGACTGCCACTGTAGAGTGCATTGCCTTTATGCAGTATTTTATGAAGAAATGTTAACTGTGCTCTTCTTGTGAGTTTTTCTTGACCACTGGTGTGCATTCTACCAGACTTTTAATGAATGCATCGCATGCGAGCAATTGTTTCACTTTTGTAGCGGTAGCTTAGAATATTCCCTTAGTGGGGGGGATCTATATCTGACTCTTTCACCTTGAGTTCATAATCGGAAATATGCACACAGTGTTGTTGGAAAATAAATGTTAGTGTATATATCAGTTCTGTGCCTTATTGTGGCAGGTTGGGACATGAGGATGAAGGGATTACAGTAGCGCCCAGCCTGATACTAACGTTTGTTTTCTAGCTGTTGTAAAAAGGCACACTGGGTGTCAATGTATTAATTATATCATTAGTGACAGTTTCTGTGTACATTCTCACATGGGTATAATTAGTTGTGTTTCCTTGGCATATTAAGGGCTAGCACAGTGATAGTGGTTGTTGCGATTTTGTAGCAGTCACAAGATTTACAATGACAGTCTTGTTGATGGTTAGTCTTGGAAAAACATTGAATAAAGTCTCCTGTATGTCTATTGCCATTGTGGGTTCTGGCATCTGCAGGTCCCTGGTACTTGATAGTCAAGTTTGGAGTGCGTCGTTCTTTTTATACGTTTTTTATATCTGTGAAAAACACAAAACGTGAAAGTGCGGATTGAGTTAAATGGAATCTAGAATCCATGTTCTGTCACAGTGATTAATTGAATCAATTGAATAATATAATAAGAGTTCAGGTTAGGAACTGAAGGAAATAAATCCCATAAATTAAAAGCAGATCCAGTTAAAGACAAACACTACAAAGATTTGCAAATACAGGTCAAAAAACGAATTAGACCAATAGGGAGATGGAAAAAGTTTTTTAGTAGTACAACAGTTAAAGAACAGTAAAGGAAGTAGTAAAGTCTCTTTACCATTATCATTTGGAAGATAAAAGGGAAATTCCTAATCTGTTAGATGAATGGTTTAATTTCTTTTTCTTGACCAAGGGAAAAAAAATCATGTTTAGGAAAGACTTAGTTCTCTTATAAATGATATCAGAATGGAACACATGGTAGTATCACGTGTACTAGGACCTCTTGCATTAAATCAGCATTCAGGTTTAGATGAACTGTCAATTGTATTGGAGTAAATGATGAATCTCATTTATAGACCATGAACAGAATTTCTTCATCAAGTCAGTACATGAGTAATTTGAGTGAACATTTCCAAATGTAGTGCCCAACCGCTAATAGGTAGTCACAGAACAACAAGTCTAACTTCTGTTACATATAATACAAATTAATTAGCATGGATGATGTAAAGTGTTAACTCCATGATCTGATTCTAATCCAGTTAGACTAGAGGACTGTTCTAAAGGTGTGCCGTGTTTGAGGTCTTATGGGCCTGCAGTCCACGTTTATACAGCTGATGACTTTTCTTTTCATATCTGCTAGAAATAGCAGACCAGAAGCTGTTTGCTTGGCTGCTCATCAAGTGTGTGGTGCAGCTGGAGCTCATTCAGACGATTGACAACATCGTCTTCTACCCGGCCACCAGCAAGAAGGAGGATGCGGACAACATGACTGCTGCTCAGGTGAAGGAGGGGGCGGCTCTGCGGTAGAGGGACGGGCACTTTCTCAGAAAGGTTTCAGTGTGGCCCTGAGCTCCTGTGCTTCAGGATTTCCTCATCCCTGACATCCCATGTGTCTTCTTTTCATCTGAGCAAGTCTAAGCTCCTCTGCCTTGTTTAACCCTTAATAGCACAACAGCAGTGTCCACCCCAGTGCCATCATGGAGACTGGTGCACTGGGGTGTAGGAGGTGCGGATGGGGTGTTAAGCCGAGATCCCGACTCCTTACTCATTAAAGGTCCTGTGGCCCTGTTTGTAACAGTTAAACCCAGTGTCCTGACTGCATTCATGGGACCTCTTTCTCTTGCCTATCTGAGTTTACCACTTCATTCACTTAGTGTGCTAAGCTAGGAAACCTCGCACTTCTCCACCTGATGTAGCATGTTCCTCAGGTGACTGCTACCCCTCAGTGCTGGATGAAGTGGTCATCTCCAATCTTTTTCAATTTCGGAATGCTTTGGGACAAAAAGCACTATATGATTAATCAATAAATAACAAAAGGGATTAGAATTATTTTGATTTCGGTCTTTTTTTAGTCTGTTTTTGTCCTGTCATTCAGAACATTCTTCTTAAGGTCAGGTTAGACAGTCAGTCCCAGTCCTTACAGGTTCTGTGGTTTTGTTTCTTCCAGCCCTGATCTTAATATTTAATTAATTTAATTATTTGGTAAGAAGTCAGATCATGTTTTTAGGTCTTCAACAGTTACTAATTAAAATGTAACTGCAAAATTTGACTTTTGGTATTTGAAATAATATAATAGCGGTCTGTTTTGAAGCAAAGCATTCAAGTCCTCATTTTCTACGCAGTCTCAAACTCATTAATAACTGAAAAAAAATGTAATTAAGCAAATACTGTAGGTAAACAAAAGGGTTCAATAAGTACTGATTAAAGTTATTCAAATGGAATGGACCCCAAAATATAGAGTTGAAAATCAAGAGTAAGAGACCAAACGTTAATTTATTATGGGAAGTCTTACAAATTTCAAACAATCAAATTCCAGTTATAAGCAAGACATGTGAGCGATATGTTTTGTCCATTTTAAAATGATTATTAAAGTGCCAGATTTATATTTGCTCCCATTTATATACAGATGCAAATCTAGACAGCACTGTACTGGAAAAGACAAGTGAGAAATTCTTTATGAAACAGCCTTTGTAAACATTTGCTTGGCTGGTTTGCCTGGATACTTTACTAAGCCACTCACAAGGACAGTTCGGTGTTCAGTGAGCTTTGAAGTCTCCTACAGAAATATCACAGCTCCATAGGCAAACTTGCACACCCGAGACTGTTTGACCTGGAGGGTGCCTGTGCCTGTCTGGGACTGTATCGCCGTGCCCTAGTGATCCTGGCGGCTGGCTCTGTGTTTCAGAGGGATGCTCTGGATGAGGGAGCTCCGGAGGAGGTGGGAAGCCAGGGGATGTACGGATACATGTCCTCTCTGCACCTCTTCAAGCTGCTGGACTGCCTGCTGGAATCCCATTCTTTCGCCAAGGCGTTCAACTCCAACAACGAGCAGAGGACTGCTCTTTGGAGAGCAGGTGGGAGATTGAAATTGGTGGAAGCCTATCTGTGCAGCATAATGTCTGCATCGGACTTCAGCTTCAACTCCAGCCCATTCGCCCAGCGGGTTTCAAAGAGCTCTGTAAATCCTGCCTTTGGCCCTAGAAGAAGAGTTATCCTTCAGGATGATTTGACTTGTATTCGTGGGTGCCTGTAGTGATTGGACTTTACAGAACCCATCACAGAGTTTGTATATGGCACTCTGTGCGCGTTTTTCCATCTCATTCTGTCAAGCCCTAGGTGTAAGTTCATCACATGGAGCTGAAGCAGTTCCATCGATAGATCTCAGTGATGTAAATAACTGTGGTCCTACCTTTTCTCCTTTTAGGGCCAGGTACTGTTTTCCTTTATTGAGTGAGTCATGTTTTCAGAAAACAAAACTATTAAAACTATACAAAAAATAGAAAAACAAAACACATAGAAATATTTTGTACTGAGGACATGATTACAGATGTGAGTCATTGAATGCTGTGTAGGATTTTAATTAATGGCAGATAGTAGATTTAATGCGGTGAGTGTTGCTCAGCTTCTTCTACTGCCAGGTGCTTTGCAGTACAACGTTTGTCCGAAGGCAAATGTATTTGTGGGTGGGTAAGTTGGAGCTGCACATATCTCCTGAGTGGGACAGCGGCTGAGTCCATCCATCCATTTTCTAACAGCTTAATCCAATTCACGTTAGTGAGGGAACCGGAGCCTATCCCGGCAATCAGCGGGTACAGGGCAGGATACGCCCTGGGCGAGACGCCAGTCCTTCCCAGGGGGCACATGGACGCACACACTCACACCAGGGCCAATTTTCCCCGAAGCCAATTAGCCCACCGGTATGTCATTGGACTGTGCGAGAAAACTTGAGCACCTAGAGCAAAGCCATGTGAAATCGGCGCCAACATCAAAACTCTACACAGACAGCACCCCAGGTCTGGAATTGATCCCAGGGCCCCTGCTCAGTGAGCCAGCCGTGACAACCACCATGCCACCCGGGAGCTGAGGTCACTGGGTCTGTGCATGATGGTCCCAAAAAAAGATTGACATGCTCTGCACAAGATTGCAAGAACTTAATAATGAAGTCTGGATGCACCCTTAGTGGTGAATGTAATGAAGTAATAGGCACTGCAGGTAAGGTCTGCAAATATTTATAAATTGAGAGTATATGTATAACCAGGAGTAATGAAAACACTAACTTGGAATTTTACTGTCTCTGGCCCAAACCAAACATATCTCATCTTTTTTTAGCAGATCTCTACATACCAAGGCTTCCTGGTGGGCTGTACAGAAAAACAAAAAGCTAGTTTGAGCTCCCGAGTTTGACCTCTCCCGTTATTAGCCAATAATTAGGGTCGACACATTATTCTCAGTGTTTTTAATCAGTATCCTTCTGAAGCTCTGTGTAAGAAACCACAGCTCTGCAGTTGTCTGAGAAGGGACACTTGACCCATTACTATGGGCTCCAGGAATGTGCTCTGTAATGTTCTTGAATGTGGACAAGCAGGAGGGGAAGTCACTGCAGCTAAGGATCTGTGCCTGTGGATGGAAGGTTGCTGGTTCGTATCCCGCAGCCGGCAGAGGAGTCCTGCCCCGTTGGGCCCCTGTGCAAGGCCCTTAATCCCAGATGCTCCAGGGCCGCCGTATAAATGGCTGACCCTGCGCTCTGACCCCAAGCTTCTCTCCCTGTCTGTGTGTCTCATGGACAGCAACTTGGGGTATGCAAAAAGACAAAATTCCTGATACAAGAAATTGTATATGGCCAATAAAGTGATCTAATACTGCAACAAGCTTTCAGTCATTCATCAGCTCACCAGCAGTTTTCCCTGCAAAACCAACTATTCTGCTGCAACAGTTCCCAATCTGCTTTTAGCTGTTTTTAGCTTTTTTTTTTTTTTGCAGGATTCAAGGGGAAATCAAAGCCCAATCTGTTGAAACAGGAGACCAGCAGCTTGGCCTGCTGTTTGCGCATTCTGTTCCGAATGTACATGGATGACAAGCTGAAGGATTCCTGGAGTGCCATACAGGCGCGACTCCTTCGGTGAGTCTGGAAACTGGAGTACTACAAAAATGGAGGTTTATTCACTGAAGCCTATAACCAGTCAGCGTCTTTTGTTCAAATGCATTTAGCTCAAGGACAGCTGTTGATTGAAATTGAAAACAATTATCCAATATGTACCAACTGTATTGTTCATCTTTGCTACCTTTTCATGTTTTTTTTTTCATCTAAGATTGTCAATTATTCATCCATCTGGAATCCGTATGGATTTTCTAATCCATAGTAACATGAAGAATTAATCCAAGTGATGTTTACATTGATCTTCTAATCATTCAAATTTTGTTGTGTCATTTCTGGACCCACAATTGCCCCCTCATGCTCTTATCAGTGGTCTTGTTCAAAGAGTGGCAGCAGCACAAAATCAGGATACGCTCTGGATGGGATGCCAGTTGATCGTGGGGCACTCTCCGATACAGACACAAATATGCACATACTTTCACCAGGACCAATTTTCCCAGGAGCCAATGAGCCAACCAGTAATTCTTCGGACTGTGGGAGAAAACCAGGGCACCTGGAGGAAACCCATACAAATTCAGGGAAAATATACAAACTCCACATAGATAGCACCCCAGGAATTGAACCCAGGGCAGCAATACTGGCCACTGTGCCACCCTATTGCCATGTTATGGCTCAGATTTGGTCATCTGAGGGTTGATGAATGGTTGAGTGGATTCAAAGTCAGCCGTCTGGGCTACTTGGTTGATAGATTCTTGCGGGCTAGTAGTATGATTAGGCTGACAGCGATTTCTGCGCTGTAGAATCATGGAGTGATGATAATAAGCAAGGGATTCATGCATCTGTTGTATAGCAGTCCCATACTGATATACTGTATAAAGCAAGCAGAATAACATGATTTTCAGATCCTTGTTTTAAAGGTTTTGCCTGCATTCTTATGCGTCTGTAACACTGAGAAATAGTTTCTTTGGTTAAAAACCTGTCTGGTGTTTTGTCAGCTTGTGCTCTGAGCTGTGTCTTGCAAAATTGAATTTCAGATGCCTGTACACCGATCGGGGTTTGAATGAATTGATGTGTTTTATTGCTTTAACAGAGCTAGAACTGAAAGTGTAAACTTCATATAGCTGTGGGCTAAAGAGGCTTTCCTCAACTTTGTCTCCTCAGGGTGTGCAGCGAAGCGCTAGCGTACTTCATCACCCTGACTTCAGAGAGCCACCGAGAGGCCTGGACCAGCCTACTGCTCCTCCTCCTCACCAAGACACTGAAGCTCACCGATGACAAGGTAGCCCTTCCTGCCTCGGGCTCTCTCCCACTCGAGTGACACGAAACGTTAGTGTCACATGGCTGAAGTGTATGTCAGCCTCTCAGCGTCATGTATAGATCCAGTAACTACACTACACTGGTGTCTGATCTTGTTAAGCGTCAGGAGTTCAGTAGTTCTGGACTCAGTGCTTGAGTGTGACGAGTTCCCAGGAATGTTGAATTCCCTTTGGTGAAGCAGTAGGTGTGCACAGGCAAGTGTTTTTATGAAGTGAGTAACAAAACTAGTTACTGTGGTATATCCCCCTTCACTTTGTTTTTAAAATGTCTGGACAGAGGAAACACTGCGACATGAGGGAGAGGAAAAAGGTTCTTTTTAGAGAGAAATTTCAGAAAAAATGTATGCAACGCAGGCGCGTCAGGGATTTTTCACTGCTTCATCTGGATGTCCTGACCGTTCTGTTTTTTTTTTTCTTTTTGTTCTTCAAACCGTTCAGTTCAGAGACCACGCCTCCTGCTACTACCCTTACCTGTGCGAGATCATGCAGTTCGACCTGATCCCCGAGCTCAGAGTGGTTCTGCGGCGCTTCTTCCTGCGGATCGGGTCCGTCTTTAAGATCTCCAGCGCCGAGGGGCAGCTTCGGCTGGTGGGGGACACGGAGCCAGGGAGAGTGGCGCCCGCCGCGGGGGTGTAGGGGACACCTGCCTGGAGCCTCCTATCGAAGGGGTGAGGCGTCTCTGAAGCCCAGACCCAGCTCCCCCCGTACCAAAGTACTCCGCAGCCCGAGACTGAGCAGAAACCCCTTGGAATGCTCGTATTAAGTCAATGAAAAGAATAATTTATTAATGATATTACAACCCATATGGCAGCATTGATCTTTTTTTTTTTTGTGTGATACAAAGATATAAAATGTAAAATAAAATTCCAAAATATTATTTTCCCTCTTTATGGAATACTGTAAAACCTTTATGCCTGAAAGTTATGTGTAGTGTGCAGAGAGCTATTTAAAACCAGTGCCTATCATTTTAAAAATAATCCCATCCCGTGGCCCAGTGGAAGTGCAGCACTGCAACTTCATTGGCAGTTGTTGCTGTCACACACTATTTTTTCAGTTCTGAATCTGGGGTCTCCTAGTCTCGCTGTGAAACTGAATGTCTTGTATATTAGATTCCTCTTGAATTCCAAATAAAACAAGTTTTGTCCTGGCGAGTGGACTGCAGAATCCATTCTCTTGGAATTTGTTTGACTATATGTGGAACTAGGCGTTGCTACAGAAGACAGAGGAGTGGAGGTTTTTTGATGGGCATCGTTCTGGGCCCATGAGTATGATTTGAAAGATAGGAATTTTGCCCTGTCATTTTACAAAATCCTACTTCAGATAGTGACGGTCTCTTCGTTTAGGGCACAGATTCATGATTTAAAATATTGCTGTTTTACATGTGCTGTTCTTTGGCTTCTTGTTTCCTTGTTTGTGTTGTCCACAACTAGTTTTTTTACTTTTGGTTTGGAAGCAACACTGTATATCCTAGTACATAGAAGAGGCCCTCAGTCTTTGGTGCACAGTTGTGTGGTCCTTTTCTTGTCTTGCAAACTTGTAAGATGTTTGTACTTGCAAACATCTTGCAAATATGTTATGCTTAACTTTGTTACTGATGGTAATTCAAACACAGATCTTCTACATACTGTATGAGTTATTATAAAGTATTGTTTTTTT